AATGGTCCAAAATAAAACACCGAATGCGCTCAAGATAACGTATTTGCGAATGACAGGATTAGTCGAAGAACTTGGTCGACAGAACGCATCACCAAAGAACCAAACAAAATTCGTCAGCCACACTAACGGAAGACAAAACAGTCCAATGATAAAGTACCTTAATGAAAAAACTCCACTTTCTTGGAAAATGAAAGGAAGAAAACATACTTTCGACAAAGCTCAGCTTTGACGCTTTCACTCATCTTCGCCTTGTCCATGCCAGGAGCTGGAGCAGCTGTTAATCAAAAGTCGGGAAGCCCCGAGCAGGAGGAGCGGACGTAGACTCAATTGTTTTGTCCGTAATATATCTTAGGGTGATTCCATTCATTCCTGTAATTACAGGAGGAAATTCGGCGAGGTGGTGCTGGTACGTTTTTGCAATTTCTCTTCCTTCCTTTCATTGTGAAGAACCAGAAAGAGCGACACTGAAGTGTACGGTTTTTTTGGGGGGCGGGGGGGCAGGCCCCGCCTTTATTCTATGTTAAAGGTTTGGCTCTCCACTCTCACCTGTTCATCTACCATCATTACACGGTTCGCAATAAACCTTCCTAGTCTACTACCTCGTTATTTCTCTGAGCCGCCAGACCACCCACTGTCACATGTCCTTGGAGGTTCCGTCAGTTCCACACAAAGCGACGCGTGTAGACGGCAATTGAAGAATAATTCTATAGTTGACAGCTATCGTTTCTTAAGCTAAATGGAGTGCTCACATAAAGTCAATTAATTTCTCATTATATATAGTTTAGTGCCAATTATTTTGGAAAGAACATAGAGAAGTCGCAACTTCTATATGCGATATTCATTTCTTGGTCGATTAATCAGCGAGGTCCGAAATTTGGCAGACGAGCATAAGGTGTAAATGCTAATGTTACAAATGCTTGTGAAGTACGGACCTTGCAAATGTGACATCAGTAAATCAATTTATCAGAAACCAACTGTAGCAGAATAAATCCCATTTGTAACACCAAGCACATGAACAGTTTTCCTAAATAACGAAAGAAGAATAGGACTGAAATCAGAGAAAAGAGCTTAACATACAAGTTCATGCGCTGAGAAGATATGAAAGACCTAGCATTAAACTTAGAGCAGATGGCGAGATAAAATAATTGTGAGGGAAAAAACATATAGCATTAACTGTGGAATTTGAGAACACACTGCAACGGAAGGCGGAGGGTAAACTATAAGAAAAAAATAGGATAAGTGTCTAAGTGTTGGAACAATTCTTAAAATTTGCGTAAACAACAGAACAAATGCGTTTGTCGTCAAATCTAAGTATGAAGGTTTATTATGATATATGCCATGTGAAAATAGCGTGCCATGCGGCGAGAGATCGCGACGCGGACATGTTGCGTGCGATCCGGCCATGGCTGGTCTGCCAAATACCGCAAATTCACCTTGTAGCGGGAAGCAGTCGAGTGACTTGATTTTGCGCGGCTGCTAGATATAATGCAATCAAACAAAAAGCT